TGGCTATAAAATAAGTTCAAAGGCACAGCAAAACTATGCAGGGATGATATATAAAGTTCAGAGGAATCTAGAATTTTTATCACAATATGTACCAAATTTACCTGACCACAAAATATTCTCTTCCCTTTATCTTTTTACCACATTATTGTCATTCTGTAGAACAAAATTTAAGGAGATTCTTTCTTTAAAATTTTAATATTTCCAATAGTTTTTAATATTTTAATTGTATTTTGATAAGTAGGCAATTTTGTTTGAAGGTTCCATGTTCTTATTTATTTATTTTGAGACTAGATGTGGTCTCTCCCTCCAACTCCTAGGCTCGAGAGCCCCACCCCCATCAGACTCCCAAGTAGTTGGGACTGCAGGTTCATACCAATGTGACCAGCAATTACTGCATCTATTTACGGATCATATTTTTTTCTCCTTCATTCTGTTATTATGGGAAATTACACCATTGGTTTCTGAATGTTAAAAAATTTTGCATTTCCAGAATAAACCCAAATTGGTAATGGCTTTTTATGTATCACTAGACTTGAATTGCTAATACGTTGGTAAGAATATTTCCATCAAGCTATGCATGATGGTACATTCCTGTAATCACAGTTACTCAGGAGGATGGCAAATTTAAGATCAGCCTCAGCAATTTAGTGAGACCCTCAATAACTTAGATAAAGAGCTAAGGCTGGGCATGGTGGTGCACAAGTATAATCGCAGTGGCTCCAGAGGCCGAGGCAGGAAGATCACAAGTTCAAAGCCAGCCTCAGCAACTTAGCAAGGTCCTAGCAACTTAGGGAGACCCTGTCTGTAAATAAAATTCAAAAAGGGCTGGGGAAGTGGTTCAGTGCCCCTGGCTTCAATACCCAGTATAAAGGAAAAAAAAAAAAAGTGTGAGGATGTAGCTCAGTGGAACCTTGCTTGCCTAGCACACAGAAGCCTGAATTCAATCCCAGTGCTGCAATACATAAATAAATAAATAAATAATATTCAAAAAATTTCACTTCCCTGCCAAAAATCGTCAGTAGCTTCCCATTGTATTTAGAATAAAAGACAAAATTGCCACACCCTGTAGACTTCTACATGATTTGATGTGTGTTGTGTGGTTGGTGTGTGTGTGTGTGTGTGTGTTAGTAGGGATTTAACCAAGAGGTCTTCTACCTCTGATCTACATTCTCACCCACATTCATTATTTTGTTTTGAGAGAGTTCCCCACTAGGTTGTCAAGGCTGACTTGAATTTGTGATCCTTTTGTTTCAGCCTCCTGTCACTGGGATTACAGGCATGTGCCAACATCATGCCCTCATGTTTTGGCCTTTGTCTTAATTTGTGTGTTGTACCTTTTATTTTAAGACAAGCTCTCACTAAGTTGTTTAAAGCCTCTCTAAACTTTTTGAGGCTGGCTTTTAACTAATAATCCTCCTGCCTAAGCGTCCCTAGCAGCTAGGATTACAGGCGTGCACCATCACACCCGGCTGTCTCTTTTTAAAGTGCATTTGTTGCTTCTCCTTCACCCATAATGCTTCATTCACACTGGCCTTCAGACAATTCCCTTATCAAGCCAAGCTTTCTTCCATGTTAAGTTTCCTGGGCTGGGATTGTGGCTCAGTGGTAGAGCACTCTCCTTGCACAGGCGGGGCCCGGGTTCGATCCTCAGCACCACATAAAATAATTATATGTACAATCAAGGCATTTTAACATATTTTTGTAGTCTCTAAAAAGGCAAGAAAGGGGCAAAAGTGTCCATACATTCAGAAAAAGCTTTCTATCAAAAGAAAATTTATTTTTTAACAGAATAAAACCTTACATGTAAAATATACCTCATAAGCACCTGGGATTTTATTTTATTTTATTTTTTTTAAAGAGAGAGTGAGAGAGGAGAGAGAGAGAATTTTTTTAATATTTATTTTTTAGTTATCGGCAGATACAACATCTTTGTTTTGTATGTGGTGCTGAGGATCGAACCCGGGCCGCACGGATGCCAGGCGAGCGCGCTACCACTTGAGCCACATCCCCAGCCCCGAACCTGGGATTTTACTCCATTAGCAGCTTAATTCTTTTTTTTTTTTTTAAAGAGAGAGTGGGAGAGAGAGAGAGAATTTTTTTAATATTTATTTTTTAGTTCTAGGCGGACACAACATCTTTGTTTGTGTGTGGTGCTTAGGATCAAACCCGGGCCGCACGCATGCCAGGCGAGCGCACTATCGCTTGAGCCACATCCCCAGCCCCGCAGCTTAATTCTGATTGTTTAGAGATCCATCACCATTTTTTTGTTTTGTTTTTTCTTGTCATACTCATGTTTACTTAAAAAACAATCTAGAGTACCAAGTTGATAAAAATATGATATTTTTCTTTCCTTTCTATTGTATGTAATATTTTAAATTTTATTCAAAGAAAATTTCTCTTTGTGTAATTCAGAGTAGTTCTGTTTTTGAAAAGGTAATTGTTCTAGTAGGTTGTTTTTATTTAATGCATTGACTATAATTGTTCTGAGTTGCCAAAAGATCAGAATCTAATTATTTTTGCTCATTGAAAATTTTAAGTAAAGTTTTCTCCAGTACAAGACAGAAGATAAATCTCAATTCAGTTCATGAGGCTAGTATAAGTAAGTCTGTGTCAAAACTACATAAACTATTACAAGACTTGTATTTGGGGTAAAAAGTGGGAGTTCATAACCCACTTGAATCAAATGTATGGAAGATGATATGTCATGAGCTTTGTAATGTTTTGAACAACCAATAATAATAAAAAAAAACTATTACAAGGAAAAAAGTACAAACCAATATCGCTCATAACCATATATGTAAAAAACCTGAATAAAATATTAGCACATCAAATTTAAAAAAAGGCATTGTGTTGTGTCCATCTACACCTAAAAAGTAAATATTAAAAAAAACTTAAAAAAAAAAAAGAGTTTTGTACCTACTGTTGCCTTCAACAAGGCCACTCTTCCCCTGCAACTCTTTTTGTGGCTGATTCCTTTTTATCATTCACGTATCAGGTTATAGTATATATTGCACATCAAAGAAACACTTTCTTGACCATTCTAAGTGGCCTCCTTGAGTATTTACCCTCTTGTAAGCACTTTTAACAAACTGCACTCATTTTATTACTGGCTTATGTTTATTAACATGTTCAAATGTATTGACATGTTTGAAGCTGGGAGTGGTGGTGCACACCTGTAATCATAGCAGCTTGGGAGGCTAAGGCAGGAGGATCACAAGTTCAAAGTCAGTTTCAGCAACCTAGTGAGACCCTGTCTCTAAATAAAATACAAAAAAGGGCTGGGGATGTGGCTTAGTGGTTGAGCACCTCTGGGTTCATACCCAGTACCAAAAAAAAAAAAAAAGACATGCTTGAGTTTCATCTGAACAGGATATAGTTGTTAGCATATAGCAACATAACTAGAACACTACCCTCTAGATTCAGACTAACTTGAATTCAAATCCTAGATCCACCACTTATCATGTGAACCTAGCCAAATCACTTAACTTCCCTGGCCCTGACTATCACCATCCGTAAAAAGAGAATAGTAAATAGTGTGTGTCTCATTGCATTATTATAGGGATTGTGTTAAAGCATAAAAATTGCTTAAAACAAGGCATGGCATAAAAGAAGTCCCAAGGAAATACTGTTACTTTTGTTGTTGTTGTTGTTCTGGGGATTGAACCCAAGGGTGCTCAATCACTAAGCCACATCCCCAGAACTTTTTTTAATTTTGAGACAGTGTCTCACTAAGTTGCTGAGATTGGTTTCAAACTTGCTATCCTCCTGCCTCAGCCTCCTGAGTTACTGAAATTACAGGAGTGTGGCACTGTACCCATCTATGACTATTACTATTTATTACTGGTTTCTAGTGCCTAACACAATGTCTAATATTCAAAGAAAATATCTGAGGAACTGTGAAAAGTGTGTAGCTGCTGAATAGTGTCTCAGATATGATTGGCCTACTCTGCCAGGCAATGCATTACTTGTATAATATAGGTTTCCTAATTTACCACTCATATTGGTAAATTAGCAATACAACATTTCTGTGAAAGAAAATATATTGTTTCTAAATTGTGGTTTTCTTGGACTATTTGTGCTTTATTTATCCCAATTAGGATAGAAGGTCTCCAAAAATGGGAGTGAGGCTTCCTTCTCCCACCAATAAACATTACTGAGCACTGTTATAGTGCCACACCCTCTGTTCCTCACTAGGGACAAGGATATGGCTCTGACCTTGGGAAAACAACTGTGGGGAAGAACATAGGTAAACAAATAGTTATCATAAAGTGCAACCCATACTTTATTAGACAGATACCCAGTGTTGGATGTTATTGAGTATCCAAATGAGTTTGTGTGAAATTTGGCCTCCCAAGGGAAGTCCCCTACAGTGCTGGTATAGCTGGTGTACAATATGGGAAAAAATGCATGTTCGGTACCCCGGTGGAAAATGGAACAAGATATTATTATGTACACCCAATAACTTCTCCACCTACACACAGGCAACCATTGAGAATTAGGGGTGCTACGGCACTCATCAATCCTAATCAGACCATTGACCCATTGTACAGACCAGAGAGCTAAACAAAATGAAAGGCAGGAAAAGAGGCCCCGTGAGACAAAAAGAAAGAAACTGACAATCTTCAAACGGAAAATAAACTAAACTAGGAGTGATGGCACACACCTGTGATCTCAGATACTTGGAAGGCCAAGTCAGGAGGACCACAACTTTAATGAGGGAAGCCTCGACAATTTAGTGAGACCCTGTCTTAAAAATACAAAATAAAAGGCTGGGGATGGAGCTCAACAGTAGAGAATCTCTGGTTTGAATCCCTAGTAACCCACACAGGCGCGCACACACACACACACACACATACACACACACACAAACACACAACCTAGGAAGATCACTTTGGGTTACTGATCTTAAATAAATAAGATACAAAGAATATTTAAATATTCTTCCATTCTGACTGCTTATGTTTCACGTTTGTGCTTCAATAATGTAAACAAAAGAAAGAAACCATCAAAACAAGAATAAAATTTATTTTCAATATCCTGTGTATTCTGTAACAGACATAGAATGCAATTTTTTACTTAAAAATATCTGCAGTTCCCTTTAATTGATAACATAACTGAGATACTTATTTTATACATTTAAATTATCTCAAGATCTCATGATAACAGTTACCTACAGTGTGCCCCAGAAATGAAAATATACAAAATACTTTTAGAAACACATGTATTTCTACTGGCTGGTACACTTACAAATCATACAAAGATACATATTTATTTTTAAAATAAAGACTTGAAAATGAAACCAGTTCATTAAATTTTTACTAAAGTATGACAAGAAATCTTTTAAGCAAAAAATAATAATTGATGCAGAAATAACACTTTCAACTTTTCTAATGTCTTAAAAATCACATTAATTTCTACAAATCACTATTTCTCAATATAGAATTTTAATTGTTCCCTGCCCATTTCTGTCATGCTTACAATAAAACATAAAAAGTGCTCTAAATACAGTAAATGGAATTATTACATTTAAAATGTTTTCTTAATATAAAAGATAACAATCAGACCATATCTTATTTTTCTACTTAAATTTATATTGTAATAAAATTACTTTACATGGAAGAACTACTTGATGTATCATCATGACATAATACCTTAGGCACATTCTTTGATACTCACACATCTACATTAATGTATATTTCACAGTCCACTTAAATAAATTTTCTAGTAGACATCAAATGATCTAATAAGAATAAATCTATAGTATACTCTTTTTGAGAGCAAAGATATTCGGGTTTATTATTACTGCCTTTGGGAAATACACTGAATTTTAAAAACACATGTAAATGCCTCATGGTACCTGGTCATAACATTTGAGCAAAACCTGATGATTATTTAGTCTCTCTCACTCTTTTTTTTTTTTTGGATGTATTGAGGATTGACTGCAGGGGTGCCCTACCAATGAGCCACATACTTAGACCTTTTTTTCCTGTTTTGAGACAGGTTTTTCCTAAGTTGCCAAGACTGGACTCAACTTGCCATGCCATCCCCCTGCCTCAGTATCTGGAGCCACGGGGATTAGAGGTGTGTCCCAACATACCCATCTTGAGTCTTTAGTTTTTTTTTTTTTTGGGGGGGGGGACATACTGAGGATTGAACCCACTGGTTACATCCTCAGCCCTTTTAATTTTTTAATTTGAGAAGTGTCTCATAAAGTTGCTTAGGGCCTCACTAAACTGTTGAGGCTAGCTTTGAACTTGTGATCCTCCTACCTCAGCCCCACGAGCTACTAGGATTAAAGGTATGTGCCACTGCATCCAGCAAGTTTCTACTTTTAAATACAATATTTATTTTACTAAAAAGAAAGTGTTCTTTTATCTTGTGAAACACATTCATAAGAAGAGAAATAATAATACTTGAATGCTGGCTATATTTTATAGAACTTAAAAATTCAGTTCTTATTGTTCTGCTACAATATAATCAAACTTGTTTATTTTATAATATAAACAAAATGTTCAAAGACTCTTTACAAAATTATGACTACAGGCTTGGAGAATCATTCAGTGGTCAAGTGCATGCTCAGCATGTATAGGGCCCTGGGCTCAATCCCCAGCATTAAAAAAAAAAAAAAAAAATCATGATTACAATTAAAATCTTTGAACAGGAGGCTGGGAATTTAGCTCAGGGATGGAGCAATTGCCTGGCATGTGTGAGGTGCTGGATTCGACCCCAGCACTGCAAAAATAAAAAGAAGAAGAAGTTTGGAATAGTAAGATAAAGCTAATGGCAACCTCTTAAGCTCCATTTTAAGTTAGTTTTGCTCCCAAATAACACTTTAAAATGGTTTCAAATAACCTGTTATGATTAGCATCATCAGCTTAGTAATATTTTTTCAATGTTCAAAGGTATAATGTTTGGCATCAGAAAGGATATTGGCATCAAAAGCAATTTTGATTTGTGAATTAAAAAAAAAAAAAATCAAGTAGTAATGTCAGTGGTTCCTGTGACAGGGTAAATATCCCCCTTCAAGTAATGTTTGCTTCACAATTAAAGTAACATTTTTCTCTGAGAGTTTATTAAGGAAAATAAACCACAAACCGCAATTTTTTTTAGTTGAGGTGAAAAAACTGCTTCATAAGTTCATATGTTGTAAAAGCCACTGCTTGAGAGGGAATACACCGAATATAATTAAGAGATAAACCACGATATAATCCTTTTCGAATTCCATGGTGTCCATAGACATACTTCATAGTCTCCCGCATGGTACTGAAAGACAATGGTTAAATGATGACACCTCTCTGCCCATTCATAAAGACACAATTTCAGGATCCATAATAGCATTTTAAAAAGAAGCTAAAATGGCATGTTAAATAACTTTTGAAAAGTAAGTGTTATAATAAGCTAAAAGTTCACAATGAAACAGCAAGTCATTTCAATCAAGTGTAATATAAGCTTTGTACATAATTTGAAGGCTCATTAAAACAATGTATTTCATTTGTGCTACATCTATGATGTTAACTAACAACACTATTTCACAACTATTGAGGCAATCCCTGTATTTGTTTATTTCTTTTTCCAATGCTAGGATCAACCCCAAGATCTTGCACACGCTAGTATTCTACTACTTAGCTACTTACTCCTCCAGCTCCCCCTACCTCCTCCACACCCTTTTTGTTTTTTTTTTTGAAACAGGGTCTCACTAACTTGCCCAGGCTGGCCCTACATGTATGATCCTCTTGCCTTAGCCTCTCAAACAAACAGCCGGGCTTACAAGAATGTGCGACCCTATCCAGCATAACTCAACTTTTAAAATACTGTAACTAGCTGGTGAGCTTAGAACTAAAGTTTGAAAGACTCTCTTTCAGATTTCAGCAATAAAGTCTTTCTTGTTTCAAACAGTTCTTTCTTTCTTTTTTAGGGGGGAGTACTGGGGATTGACAAACCCAGGGCTCTTTATCACTGGGCTACATCCCCAGCCCTTTTAATTTTTTTATATTGAGACAGGGTCTGGCTAAAGTACTTGGGAAATTCCTAAATTGCCAAGGCTGGACTGATATGCTGGGATTAGAGGCATGCACCATCACACCTGGCTCAGAGTTGTTTCTTTCCTTTCAAACCAATATATAGCCATTTCCTTTTCCCTTCAATAAGCAATTTTGAAATCTTCAAAAAAACCTTTTGCATGAACAAGGCAATCCAAGGTCTGAACAAATATTTTGCTTTTCTTTTGAGGGACAACATATTGCCAAACTGGTATATGGGTCCGGTTTCTGTAAGGTTTCAGTTACGTCCCATTTCTCTTATAAAATTCATTTTAGAGAAGCTCTATTAAATAAAAACATAGAGAGCTACATGTATGATTTTTAAAATTCTGAGATCTGCATTTTTTTAAATATTTTTTTTTTAGTTTTTAGGTGGACACAATATCTTTATTTTTTATTTTTTTAATATGGCGCTGAGAATCGAACCCAGTGCCTCACGCATGCTAGGCGAGCGCACTACCACTTGAGCCACATCCCCAGCCCTGCATTTTTTTTTTAATATCTTTATTTTTATTTGTTTATTTTTATGTGGTGCTGAGGATCGAACCCAGAGTCTCACACATATGAGGCAAGATCTGTACCACTAAGCTATAACCCCAGCCCTGGGGCGCTACATTTTAAAAAAATATAAAAACAAACAGATAATTCTTTTATAATATTTTTGTTTCATCTAATAATTCTGAAATGTTATCATTTCAACATTTCAAGATTTTGCAATATTTCCCCTAAAGGTCTATGAATCAAAGACTTGATCCCCAAGGAGGTGCTATAGGGAGATGATGAGACCTTTAAGAGGAGAGGCCTAGTTAAAAGTCTTTTTAGATCATTATGGGCTAAAAAGGTACTGTGAGTCCCCAACCCCTTATTTGCTTCTCTTTTTTCACTTCCCAGCCATGAAGTGAGTGGTTTTGCTCTGCCATGAATGCCTACCATGGTGTGCTGTCTCGTCACAGACACAAAGAAAACAGGGCTGATCAATCATGAGCCAAAATAAACCTCCCCTATTTATAAGTTGATTATCTCAGGTATGTGTTATAATGACAGAAAGGTAGCACAAATCAGAATGATGCTAAATTTCTACAGATTATGGAAAGCTGCAGAACTATTCTGTATAGTAATGATAACCACTATCCACATGTGCTACTGAGCACTTAAATTGAGATGTGCAGTAAGTATAAAATACACACTGGATTTCAAATACTTAGCAGAAATATTGCAAAATATTACAAAAACTTTGAAATGTTTAAATGATAACATTTCAGACTTATTAGATGAAACAAAAAAAATATTATAAAAGAATTATGTTTGTTTTTATATTTTTTAAAAATGTAGCTCCCAGAATTTTTAAAATTATACATGTAACTCTCTATATGTTTCTACAAAGTTACCACAGTATACTATCGGACACAAAATGAAAGACAGGGACTATAGGTGAGAACAGAGTCCTATCTTCCTACTGACTTTTAAACATTACATTTTCTAAAGATACAATGATGTATGGAGAACTTACAGGCACTTTTCAAATTCTGGCAGAACAGTTCCTAGTTGCATTCTCCGACGAGTTACATCAAATGGGTATCTAAAAGAAGAAAAGGCAAAAAGACTTAAAAAACATTATTTTTCATTTTCTATTTCAACAAGCATTGAATGCAAAGTCCCATCCACACTAGGAAATAAAGTATATTCTTAAAGTTTTCTCCAATCTGGGAATCAGGAAATAAACACATGAATAAATCAATTAACTATACAATGTCTCCTTTCCCTCTTTAAAGGACATATCTTTCCCATTATCGCAATATCAAGTTCTGTTCATTTTTTGAAACCAAATTTTTATGCCATTTCCTAAAGAAACTGGGTGCTTTCATTGTTGGAACGCTGACATAGGATTTCTCAACTTTGGCACTGTTGATATTTTGGATCATTCTTTGCTGTGGGCACTGTCCTGTGTATCCTAAGATGTTTAGCTGCCTCCCTGACCTTTACCCACTATTTGCCAGTAGCGGCCCTACAGTTTTGACAACCAAAAATGTCTTCAGACATTAACCAATGTCCACTGGAGTCAAAATCACCCCCAAGAGTGAGAACTACCACCTGAAGAATATTCAGCAAGTTCCCACATATGCAATAGACTAATACAATTTTTTTTTAAAGGGCTAGAGTTAATGATACAAATAATTGCATTTTAAGGGCTGAGAAAATTATACCATTGCCTAAAAATTATATATGCAAAGGTAATCTCTTTTAGCAGTGGGAATGCAGGTGATTTCTTTAAAAACTACTTTTACATTCCTAGTACTGACTGACTACTTTGTATTCAGTACTATGCTAAACAATTTATGTTCATTATTTCATTTCAACTTCAAAACAATTGCATGAAGTAGATATTATTATTCCAATACTAAGTTTAAAATTATTGAGAAACATCCATCAGTGTCACAAAACTGCTTTCTACTTTCCTATTTCAAGTTTTCTATGAAATCTAATATGCACAAAAGTATAATAAAACAATCATACATTTAATACACATTTAAATTCATTATTTTAAAAAATATACCCACATATCAACCCTGCAACATAAGAAATAACATTACCAGTAGTTGAGGCTCCCTATGTACCTCAATACCATCTCCAGAAAATACTTATTATTGGGGAAGAAGAGAAAAGGAAAAAGATTTACAGGACTATAGAGACTGAAAACCTCAACTGCAGGATTGGTTTCCAACCTGAAATGGTGTGGGTAGAAAGAACATAAGAAGACAAACTGAAAAAGTCCAAAACAAGGGAAATAACAGTGGGAAAGACAAAACGGCATTCTAGGGAATCTTCTAAAGTAAAATAATGACAAGACATAGTGACTATCTAGTTATATATGATGTGGAAAATGATTTATTAGGACTAGTAGAATGGTGTCTATCGATAACAAATAGGAAAGGTGAGGGCTGAGGACAAAGATGAAGACAAGAAGGTATATTTGTTTCTTTTTGTTTTGTTTTGCTAAAGATCAAAACTACTGTCTTGTGCATGCTAGGCAAGCTTTCTACTGCTGATCAAAGCCCACAGCCCCAAGAAGGGGTAATATTTGAATTCTAGAGTGTTCAATGATGGCAGAAGACAAAGTAGAATCTAAAAGTTTGCTGGAGATGTAATAGGGAGTCAGTAATAGAGATTAAAATATCTATACAGAGGTGACCATTAAAACCATGAAGATGCTGGGCATGGTGACACATACCTGTAATCCCAATGGCTTGGGAAGCTGAAGCAGAAGGATTGCAAGTCTGAGGCCAGCCTCAGCAACTAGCAAGGCCCTAAGCAACTTAGCAAGACCCTGTCTCAAAGTAAAAAATTTTAAAAGGGGTGGGGATGTGGCTCAGAGGTTAAGCACCCCTGGGTTCTATCTCTAGTACCAAAAAAAAAAAGGAAGAGAGGAGGGAGGGAGGGAGGGAAGGAAAGTTGGAAGAAAGGGAGGGAGGGAAAAAGGGAAGGAAGGAAGGAGGGATGGATGGAAGGAAGAAAAGAAGGGAGGGAAAATGAAAAAATAAATAAAACAATGAAGATGAATAAGCTGTTCTACATACTTAGTTTGAGAAGGGAGGCTGAAGTCTGATTTGTTCTTAAAATTTTCACACAGAAAGGTAGGCTATAAATCAGAAAATACCTGAAAATGGAGGTACTATTAAAACAACCCAAGAACTAGGACAACAGAAGAGAGGCTTAAAGAACCGGAGTCCGGGCTGGGGATGTGGCTCAAGCGGTAGCGCGCTTGCCTGGCATGCATGCGGCCTGGGTTCGATCCTCAGCACCACATACAAATAAAGATGTTGTGTCCAACGAAAACTAAAAAATAAATATTAAAAAAATTCTCTCTATCTTTAAAAAAAAAAAAAAGAACCGGAGCCACTGGATGATGGATGGTTCCATGGGCATAGAATATACTTTTTAAGAAAAAAAGTGGAAAAAGAAAGACAGATTTTAGGGAGCTAAGCTGTTGTTGGTAAAGAAAGGGAAGCAACAAAAAGAGAATGATAATAATAGCTGGAGATGAACATGTCTCTCAAGTGAACAGGATTGACAGCCGACTTTCCAAAAGTAAATCACACACTTTTTCTTCTTTACCTTCAATCTAGTACAATCTGCTCCCACCTACAAATACATGGAATCTGCTTTCAAAAAAAATAATAATAATAATAATAATCCTCAATTTGGAAATCCAATGAAAACCTTACTTATCTTACTGACTTTTCCTTTCCCATTGGATACTCTTTGTATTTTGTTTTTTTTTTCTTAAGACTTTGACTCATTTATTTATTTATTTATTTATTTATTCATTCATTCATTCATTCATTTTGTGTGCTGCGGGGCCTTGTACATGCAAGGCAAGCACTCTACCAACAGAACTATATCCCCAGTCCTGGATACTCTTTGATTCTTTGTAACATTACTATTTCCTTGTCTTCTTATTTTTCAGAATATTTTCTCTTGTTCATAAAAAGCTTTTCTTCTTCCTATTGCTGAAAAATCCCTGTATTTTATGTTCTAGTTTCTTCCAATTTCATTCTACTCAATCTTTTTTAACCTAGGAAAATTCTTTGAAGTCACCTTCCCAATTATACTATAGTAATACCTTTATCAACATCCCCACTACATTTTAAAATCTGTCTAGAGTAACACAATATTGCTACTCCTAATAAAAAGATAAACTTGCTGAGGTAACAACTTTGTTTTCCTTTCAGTGAATTTCCCAATTCCTAGTGTACTATCTGGCACAAAGTAGGACTTCAAGATCCAAAGCAAATTGTGACTCCGCGCACGCGTGTGTACACCCACTCACACACACACACACACAGTCTCTCTCTTAAATGCTTCAAACTTTAGAAATTTTATATAGGCAAGTTCACAAGAAAATATGGATGAACAACATATTTAGTGTTTCTTTTTCTTTCTTATGAGTGTATCTGTATAAAATCGGTAGGATTCACCTTAACTTTATCAATTTGGCATATGATTACTTATTAATATCCTTAAAGTTAAGGCTTATCTGAAAAAAATAAATTAATGCTTATAAAAATTAGTACTTGTTGTTTTACAAGGGATCCTGTTTTTGAAGAATTTATTAGAAAAACTAAAATAATTAACCAACGCTAAAAATTAGGATTGGATAACTATAATTTGACTGAATTAAGTTGTTGAAGAAACTTACGATATTGTCTGTGCTATTGCTCCAGCAACACCACCACAAAGTAAGTTAATGTGAGTTTTCAAAACTAAGACATTAGGATTGTCTGATGAAGGTCTGCCAAGAAGGGTAGGAGCATGGGAAAGCCCAACACTCTTTAAGGTACCAAAAGTAAAAAATGAAACACCTGAAAAACAAAATATAAATTCACCATGATGCTTCACAGAACATGAGCCGCGAAAAAGTCACCTTTTCTTATGTAATAATCAATTAATTCAAGAAAGTAACTAAGCATTTCCTAATTACTGATATTTGGCTTAACATAAGAAAGATCTTGTATTTATAATTATTGAAGTATTTATAAATATTTACCACCTATAAAAAATTATAGCATTGGTTTTCATATACTAGCATATTACTCATTGAAGGAAGTGGTAGTGACGTAATGCCACCTTATATAGAATCAAAATAAACATTTTCCAAAGTTTTACATGAGTGAAAATTAAATTCATGATTAATATTTACAAGTAACTATGACAACTTATACTTACAACAATAATGAAGGTGATAATATAGGCAAAAAATTCAGAAGTGAAAAAGCATTACAATTTTAACTATAACAATTTTATCTTCAAGAAAAAATTATGAACATAATAAAATGTTCATATTGGCTCATAAGACTTGGAGATTTTAATAATATAGTATGAAGTTGGTGCTTGCAAAAAATTTTACATGATTTTGCTAGGCACAGCACCACACACCTGTAATCCCAGGGACTTGTGAGGCTGAGGCTGGAGGATCACAAGTTTGAGGCAGGCCTTAACAACTTAGTGAGTTCCTAAAGAACTTAGCAAGATGGGCTGGGGTTGTGGCTCAGTGGTAGAGTGCTTGCCTAGCATGTGTGAGGCCCTTGGTTCGATCCTCAGCACCACATAAAAAATAAAATAAAGATATTGTGTCCACCTAAAACTAAAAAGTAAATATTTTTTAAAAAAGGTTCTGCACATAACCTTTATTTGAAAAAAAAATTAAACTAAACATGAGGTTTAGGATATAGCTTAGTTGCTAGAGTTCCTGCCTCACATGTACAAGGTTCTGGGTTCTATCTGCAGCACCACACATACACAAAAAAACCCTAAACCTGGACAAGTGCAGTGGCGAAGGCCTATAATCCCAGTGGCTCATGAGGCTGAAGCAGGAGGCCGGCAAGTTCAAAGCCGGCCTCAGCAACAGCAAGGCACTAAGCAAATTAGTAAGACCCTGTCTCTAAATAAAATACAAAATAGGGCTGGGGATATGACTCTGTGGTAGAGTGCCCCTAGTTCAATCCTAGATACCCACCCCCCCCCCAAAAAAAAACACCTAAAAACTAAACCTGTACTGGGGGTGTGGCTTAGTGATAGATCACTTGTCTAACATGCCAAAGGTCCTGGGTTCCACCCCTTGGACAAGAAAAAGAACAAAAATCTAACTCAGCCTGATGAATGGCATAGTTTAAGAATGATGACTTTAGACAGGTGTGGTGACACACGCCTGTAAACCCAGCTACTGGGGAGGCTGAGGCAGGAAGATTGAAAATTCAAGGCCAGAGCTGAGGTTGTGGCTCAGCAGTAGAGGACTCACCTAGCAAGTGCATGGCCCTGGGTTCGATGGTCAGCACCATGTAACAATAAATAAATAAAATAAAGGTATTGTGTCCAACTACAACTAAAAAATAAGTATTAAAAAAAAAGAAAGCTTGGCTGGGGATTTGGCTCAAGCAGTAGCGCGGCCTGGGTTCAATTCTCAGAACCACATACAAACAAAGATGTTGTGTCCGCCGAAAACTAAAAAATAAATATTAAAAGATTCTCTCTCACTCTCTCTTTAAAAAAAAAAAAAATGACTGGGGATGTGGCTCAGTGGTTAAGACCCCTGGGTTCAGTCCATGGTACCAAATAAATAAATAAAAGGGGACTGCAATCTTAGTGAGGCAGGAGGATTGCAAATTCCAGGCCTGCCTCTGTAATTCAGAAAGACACTCAACAATTTAGTGAGACCCTGTCCCCAAAATTTAAAGAAATAAAAAGTACTGGGGATGTAGATCAGTGGTAAAGCACCTGGGTTGGAATCCAGTACCAAAAAATAAAATAAAATAAAATCAGCAAGGAGCAAAAATGTCCATTATCACTACTTCTATTCATTACTGCACTAAAGGTCCCTAGCCAGTTATACTAAGATAGGATAAACATAAACAAAGAAAGAAGGATTGGATTAGAAGAAAAAAATGATATTATTTACACAAAATATGACTGTTCATATAGAAAACCCAAACTATCTATAAGTAACATGGAGGCTGACTATAATAATGTCAGAACCACATACAAACAAAGATGTTTGTTTGTATGTGGTTCTGACATGGGGCAGATTTGAAATCCCAGTGACTTGGGAGCCTGAGTCAAGAAGGATCACAAGTTTGAGGCTGGCCTCAGCAATTTAGTCACACCCACAGCAATTTAGTGAGATCATCTCAAAAAAAAAAAAAGAACTAGGAATGTATTCTGTGGTTAAGCACCCCAGGGTTCAACCCCAAGTACCAAATATTAATGATTATAATAATGTCAACAGTAGGAAAATGGCTAGCTATAATATAAAAATTAAATCAAGCAGTAAACTGAAAATGTACTTGTCTAAAAGATACATCAAAACTTGTGTCTAAACAACAACAAAAAAACTTGTGTCTACAGCCCAGTACAATGGCACATGCCTATAATCCTAGCAACTCAGGACAGTGAAGCAGGAAGATCTCAAGTTCAAATCCAGCATGATCAACTTAGCAAGGGGCTAAGCAACTTAGTGAGCCCCTATCTCAAAATTTAAAAAAAAAAAGGGGGGGTAGGGATATAGCTCAGTGGTTAAATGCTTTTGGGTTCAAAATCTTGTACCAAAAAAAATAAATAAATAAACAAAAACAAAAACAAAATCCTTGTATCTACATAATATGTCTAACAAAGATGACCACTACCAGCTGGGGTTGTAGCTCAGTGGTACAGCGCTCATTTAGCAAGGGCGAGGCACTGGGTTCAATCCTCAGCACCACAAAAAAATAAATAAATAAAAATAAAGGCATCATGTCCACCTACAACTAAAAAAAAAAAATTATATTTATACAAAAATACCTTTATGAAATTTCATTCAAAATTCCAATGAGGATTTTTGTGAAATATCAAATGCTAATTTTAAAACATTCATGGAATAGCAAAATATCCATAGTTCTTGATTTTCTTGAAAATAATAAACATAAGGTGAAGGAATTTGCCCTACAAAATATAATGACTCCTTACAAAATAGTACTCTACTTTGAAAAAAAAAAAAAAAGTATCATTGCAGGCCACAGGGAAAAGAGATATTATTTAATGAATGGTACTGGGTCAAATGGTTATCCTTAACAAAGGAAAAAATAATCCAAGGCTGGGGATGGGGCTCAGTGCAGAGCTCTTGCCTAGCATGCACAAGGCTCTAGATTCAATCCCCCAGCACTAAGGGAAGAAAACCCAGCAGGATTAAGGGTTATATATAAAATACTAAAATCTAAAAATCATTCTTAAAAAAAAAAAAAACATTTGGAAAAGCTGGGCATGGTAGCACACACCTGTAATTCCAGTGGCTTGGCAGGCTGAGGCAGGAGGATAACAAGTTCAAGGCCAGCCTCAGCAACTTAGCAACTTAGTGAAACCCTGTCTCAAAATTTAAAAAGTTAAATAAAAAATTTATTTGGAAAGCAGTTTGGAAACTTCCTATAAATTAAAACAGATTCAATTAAAACATATTCTTATTCTATTACCCAGCAATTCCACTTCTGAGTATTTGACCCAAAGACAGAAACATAAGCACATAAAAAGACTTTTATGTTTATAGTAGCTTTACTTATAATAACCCTAATTTGGAAAAACTCCAAATATCCATTAATAGGAAAATAAACATACTATTCTATGCTCATACAATGAAATCTGACTCAGTAATAAAAAAATGCAATGAAATTTATAACCACAATGAGATACAACTTCACACTCAATAGACTGACTATAACTGAAAGTCAAATAAAAACAAGCATTACCAAAAATGTCAAAAATAACAACTCACATATTGCTAGCAGGAATGTAAAAAAGTGAAGCCATCAGGAAAAGATTTGGACAATTCGTCAAAATATTAAACAGTGAGGAAAATACCCAAGAGAAATGAAAACATATAACCATACAAAAACATGTATATGAATGTTCATAGCAGCATTGTTCCTCTTGGCCAAAAACAGAAAACAACCCAAATGCCTGTCAACTTAGGAAGGGATAAACAAAATGCAACACGTCCATGCAGTAGAATACCATTTGGCCATGAAAAGGAATGACGAATATGGCAACATGAATGAACCTTGAAATCATTACACTAAATGAAAGATACCAGTCATAAAATACCATGTATAAAATGACTTCATTTGTATGAAATATCCAGAAAAAGCAAATCAATAGAGATGAAAAGATTAGTAGTTGCTTAGGACTGGGAAGTGATGGATAAAGGCTGAAAAGTTTCTTTCAGAGGTAATTAAAATGTTATAATACTAATTGTGGTGACAGTTGTACAACTCTGTAAATATACTCAAAACCAATAAAAACATACATTTAAATTAGTAAATTTTATGGCATGTGACTTGTATCTCAATACAGCTGTCATTAAAAAAAAAAACCCATAGAGGGTTGAGGTTGGTGCTCAATGCTACAATGCCTAGCATGTGTGAGGCAGTGGGTTGTGGGTTTGATCCTCAGCACCTCATAAAAATAAGTAAATAAATAATAACGGTATTGTGTTCACCTACAACTAAAAAAAAAAAAAAAAGGACACAGCAAGTTTAAAAAAACAGAATTCCCTTCATCAAACTATAGGGTCAGGTATGGTGGTGACTTGGGAGGCAGAGGCAGGAAGATGGCAAGTTCAGGACCAGCCTCAGCAAATTATCGAGACCCTAAGAATTAAGTAAGACCCTATCTCAAAATAAAAACACACAAAAAGAGCAGGGGTTGTAGTTCAGTGGTTAAGCAATACTGGTCAATCCCTGATACTAAAAAAATTACATTTAAAAAATTTTTAATGATACTATAGAGCCAGGCGTGGTGGCACACACCTGTAATCCCAGCAGCCGAGGAAGCTGAGGCAGGAGGATCGTGAGTTCAAAACCAGCCTCAGTAAAAGCGAGGTGTTAAACAACTCAGTGAGACCCTGTCTCTAATAAAATACAAAATACAGCTGAGATGTGGCTCTGTGGTTGAGTGCCCCTGAGTTCAATCTCTGGTAAATAATTAAAGACACTATAAATAACAGGGCACAGTGGCACATGTCTGTAATCATAGCTACTCAGAAGGCTGAGGCAGAAGGATCTCAAGTTTGAGTTCAGTCTGGGCAACTTAGAGAGACTGTGTCTCAAAAAAATAGGAGGCAGCTTTACATGATGGCACAATTTAGTGAGTCCCTGTCCCAAGATAAAAAATTTTAAATAAAATAAAGGGGGCTGGGGATATAGCTCAGTTGGTAGAGTGCTTACCTTGTATGGACAAGGCCCTGGGTTCAATCCGCAGCACCACAAAAAAAAATAAATAAATAAAATAAAGGACTGGGAGGTGTGGCTCAGTGGTTAAGCATCCTGGGTAAAATCCCTGGTACCAAAAAAAATTTCTTTTAAAGAAAAAAGAGGGGCTGGGGATGTGGCTCAAGCGGTAGCGCACTCGCCTGGCATGTGTGCGGCCCGGGTTCGATCCTCAGCACCACATACAAACAAAGATATTGTGTCCGCCTAAAAAATAAATATTAAAAAAATTCTCTCTCTCTCTCTCTCTCTCTCTCTCTCTCTCTCTGTAAAAAAGAAAAAAAAGAAAGAAGAAGAAAAAAGAAATGGGGAGGGGATTGGTTGGGGAAAGGGAGGGCAAGACTGAACAAGAAGTTCAGTGTTAGAGCACCCTGGATTCAACTTCCAATATTGCCTAAATAAATAAATAAATAAATAAATAAATAATCCAAGCCAAAAACAGCAATATTTTCAATATATATAAATAAAAATTACATAAAGAATTAATACAAGCCATGTATGGTGGTGACACACCTGTAATCCCAGCTACTGGGAGGCTGAGGCAGGAAGATCACAAGTTCAAGGCCTGTTTTATCAGTTTAGCAAGACCATGTCTCAAAATAAATTGAAAAAGGGCTGGGGATGTAGCTTAGTGGTAGAATGCTTGCCTAGCATGTGTTAGGCCCTGTGTTCAATCCCCAATACCAAAAGGGGCGGAAGGCGGGGGACACGGGGTGGGAAGAATTGAGACAAATCAATAAGAAAAGTAGGCCAAACACATGTATAAACAGGTACTTCACAAAAAAGGAAATGTGATTGATAATACATAAAAATTGTTCAATCTCATCAGTAATCTGGGAGACACAAAATAAAATTTCATAAATTACTTTTTTTTTTTTTGAGAGAGAGAGAGAGAGAGAGAATTTATTTATTTATTTAGTTAGTTAGTTAGTTTTCGGCAGACACAACATCTTTGTTTTGTATGTGGTGCTGAGGATCGAACCCGGCCGCACGCATGCCAGGCGAGTGCGCTACCGCTTGAGCCACATCCCAGCCCATAAATTACTTTTTATTCCCTACAAAAATCACAAAAGAGCTAGGCACGAGGGGACATGCCTATAATCCCAGCAGCCCAGGAGGCTGAGACAGCCAGCCTCAGCAACAGAGAGATGCTAAGCAACTCAGTTAGACCCTATCTCTAAATAAAATAAAAAATAGGGGTTGGGGTTGTGGCTCAGCAGTGGAACGCTTGCCTAGCACATGAGAGGCCCTGGGTTCAATCCTCAGCAACATGTATAAGTAAATAAATTAAATAAGCTAAAAAATAAATATTAAAAAAAAATAATACAAAATAGGGCTGGGGATATGGCTTAGTGGCTGAGTGCCACTGAGTTCAAACCCTGGTACCCCACCAAAAAAATAAAAAAATAAAAAAAATAAAAATCACAGAAGATTTTGAAATCAGTTAATACCAATAGGATTTTTTTTTTTTCTTTTCAGTACAAGAATTGAACCCAGAGTCTGGGACATGCTAGACAAGCACTCTACCGTTGACTGAGTGTACCCTGAGCCCTTTTTTATCTTATTTTGAGACAAAGTCTTGCAAAATTGATCAGGCTGGCCTTAAATACACAACCCCCCTGCCTCAGCTTCCCAAATAGCTGGAATTACAGGCATGTGGCACCATACCTGACTACTAATGGAAATTTTTAACCACTGCTGGTGGAAATATAAATGGATATAGCAACTATTTTCAATCAATTTGATCTTATCTACAAGAAGTGAAGAAATACATTACTTACAACCTAAAAATTCTACTCCTAGTTATATAGTCCAGAAAACAATCTTGAACTAGAATATATAGACGACTGGATAAATAAATGAACATTTATCCATAATATGAATATATCTTTAAAATACAATTCCATGAAACACAAAGTATTGATACTTCCATATCATGGAATAATAATCATCAACAAAAAAGAACAAACTATTGATACAAACAACTTGGATGAATCTCCAGGAACTTATGAGTGAAAAATCAATAACCAAAAGTCATATACTAAATGATACCATTTATATAAAGTTATTGAAAGTTTATTACCTCAGGAGTTAGGGAAAGGACAGGAGGGGTATGGCTATAAAAGTAAGCAAGATCTTTGTGATGATGTACCTATTTTGTATCTTTACAGTATGTAAATATTCTAGTTATGATAGTGTACTAGTTTTTTAAGGCATTCCCATTGGGGGAAACTGGGTAGAGTATGCAAGATCTCTCCGTATTGATTCTTACAACTTTATGTAAATCTATAATTATCTCAAAATTTAAAATTAGATTAAAAACAGGAATATAAACAAGGTAACAACAAAATTTGAGAACTACAGATATCATATCTCTCCTTTCTACTTTTCTATATTTTCTAAATTTCCCATAATACATCATCATTATTTATCATAAGGGAAAAAATATTTTTCAATTCTTTCTTTTAATAAACACACTCATAAAACTGTATCCTTAACAATCATCTAAAATAATGTGCATTAACAAGACTATACCTGACACAGATGTTAAGAAAATCATGTTAAAAGTGAACTTCTACTCATTCTACATGAATAGTCATCTTTGTAAGACCATATATGGACCATAATTTTATCTTCATCATTTAGCAAGTAAAAAGCCTTTGTAAGTAGCATCATTCATGTTACCACTTATGAAAAAAACTGGTAACAATTTAAACACACAAAGTAGGATCCTGCCTAATTTGAAACATACCTGCATATGGAGCCATTCCTAATATAGTGGGCATCAGTCCTCTGTAAAATCCAAGGAAACCACCTTCCTTTTTGTGAAGAAAATTAGAAGTGATATTACATTGTGTTCATGATGATAAAATTCAAAGAATAAAAACATACACAAACTGGAAAAATTATTCTGGGACCCACACTGAAATACAAGAATAGGCTTTCATAATTATTATTATTAATATCAGTTATATATAATTCAAAATCATTTCCTAAATATAAAAGGACATGTTAAATATGTGGAAGGTAAATATGAAATACCTTTGCATAAATTGTTTTGAATGCATGAATGATTCCTGTATAGGTGTGTTCCCCTTTCACCTGGAATGCTAGGCGTACTCTAACCATGTCAAGAGGGTAAGTACAGATAACTGCTGTCATACCTGGAAAGAAAATTAAAACTTAAATATAGAAAAAAAATTATGACACAAACATGTATGTGTATATGTATGTATTTATGTGTATGTATGTGTACGGATCTCCCCTATCAATAGTAGTGTTCTCAATACCAGAGTAATGATGAAAACCCAATGAAATCAAAGTTGACATTAATGATGGAATTATAATCAGCTGGAAAAACCACGTAGGAAGGGTCAGTCTGTTAAATTCTTTTAAAGTTCTTCCCATTTGCACTAGTATTCTTAGCACCAAATGGTATAGTATAAGTAGATCATGAGGGGACATTTTTGGAGTTTTGGGGATTGGACCCAGAGTCTCACACATGCTTAGTAAGTTCTCTACCACTGAGCAATATTCCCTGCTCATTCGGGGTTGTTTATTTTATTTTTTTAGTTGTAGATGGAATAATACTTTTATTTTATTTATTTTTATGTGGTCTTTAAGATCAAACTCAGTGCCTCATACGTGGTAGGCAAGCATTCTACCACTGAGCTAGAACTCCAGGTTGTTTATTTTTTAAGAGACAACATCTTGCTTGCTTGCCCAAGGTAGCCTCCAATTACTGAGCCTGATCACTCCTCCCATCTCAGCCTCTCAAGAAGCTGGAACTACAGGTGTGTACCACCTATATACAAAATAGACTGGCTTTTATTATAACAGTTTATAAAAACAATTTATTCTACAGCTTCTCTATGTGTAGTTAAAATATCAGAAAAGATATGCTATATACCTCTGACACTAAGCAAGACATGTGATTTTGATTTTTTACTTATTTTCCCAAAATATAAAATGGAGAAATTGTTTACTTAATGGAACACAAAGAATTCTTTTCTTAAAATTATATTGAAGCTGGCATGGTGGCACACACCTATAATCCCAGTGGCTTGGGAGGCTAAGACAGGAGGATCGAGAGTTCAAAGACAACCTCAGCAATGGCGAGGTGCTAAGCAACTCAGTGAGACCCTGTCTCTAAATAAAATACAAAATAGGGCTGGGGATGTGGCTCAGTGGTTGAGTGCCCGCGAATTCAATACCTGGTATTAAAAAAGAAAAACGACCAAAAAGATCACAAAGAATAAAAAAATTGGGGCTGGGGATGTGGCTCAGTAGTAGAGCATTTGCCTAGCATAGTGAAGCACTGGGATTGATTCTCAGCACCACATATTAATAAATAATAAAGGTCCATTGACAACTAAAAAAATATTTTAAAAAATTAAAGAGAAATACAAATGAATACATAATCACAAGGGTTGGGTGTAGGTCAGTGGTAGAGCACTTACATAGCATGAGTGAAGTCCTGGGTTCAATCCTCAGCACCAAAAAAAAAAAAAAAAAATTAAAAGTAAAACCAAATCACAAGGTCAAAAGACAAACATAAAACTGGGAAATAAACATTAGCAATATTTTCCTCAGCACAATGGCCAACAGCTGTAATCCCAGCAGCTTGGGAGGCTGAGGCAGGAGGATCACAAGTTCAAAGCCAACCTCAGCAACTTAGCAAGACCCTAAACAACTTAGGGAAATCTTATCTCCATAAAAACATTTTTAAAAGGGCTAGGGATGTGGCTCAGTAGTAAACTGCATCTCAGTTCAATCTGCAGTACAATACCAACAAGAAAAAAAAATTAACTTCTCAGAAATAAAATAGACCTACTCCTCTTACCTGCCATGGATCCAGCCATTAATCTGTGCACATGACCAGAAACTCCCAGCTTTGTGGTAATTAACTAGAAAACAAAAATACTGAATTAAATTATATTTTTTTACATGATGTCCATTTCACCATTTAATAATGAAGATTATCTAATTTACAATTACAATACTATATATTAATAACAATAAACTGAAAGTGTGAATGAGGGTAGTAGGAATAAAAAGCCACTATAGGGGCTAGGGATGAACTCAATGGTAGAGTGGCGTGTTGCTTGCCAAATGTGCACAGGGCCCTGGGTTTAATCCCTAGCACCTCAAAATGAGAGTTTATTTTATTTTATTTTTTTTAGAGAGAGAGAGAGAGAGAGAATTTTTTTTTTAATATTTATTTTTTAGTTCTCGGCGGACACAACATTTTTGCATGTGGTGCTGAAGATAGAACCTGGGCCGCACGCATGCCAGGCGAGCACGCTACTGCTTAAGCCACATCCCCAGCCCTCAAAATGAGAGTTTAAAAAAAAAAAAAAAAGAAGGCAAATAAGCTACCACAGACAATGAGGCTTTGGTACAGTCATGGCATCAGTTCTGACTAACCACCTTGAAACATTTTTCTCATTGCTATTATTTTTCCTTCTAAGATAAGAGGGCTAGGGATGTATCTCAGGAATAGAGTTAGCAACACAAAACTTATGGTAAACTAATTAGCTCAGTGGTAGAGTATTTGCCTAGCATGCAGAGGCTCAGGTTCCATCCCCAGCAAAAGGAGAAAAAAGATAAATACCATTTGAAATGTAATCAATTTAACCCTTTTTTAATGTTAAGATAATATTTGAGGAGATAAACTTTTTTTTTTTTTTAATGGTACTTGGGATTGAACCAAAGGGCACTTAAACACTGAACCACATCCCCAGCCCTTTACATTTTTTTTATTTTGAGGCAGGGTCTCACTAAATTGATTAGGGCCTCACTAAGTAGCTGAGACTGTCTTTGAATGTGCTGATCCCCCTGGCTCAGCCTCTCAAGCCGCTGGGATTATAAGCATGTGCCACCATGTCCAGCCTTTCTTATTTATTTTTGCTGTATTGGATTGAACTCAGGGACACTCAACCAGTGAGCTACATCTCTACCGGATATCCATCCACCTATCTATCTACCTACCTACCTACCTACCTATCTATCTATCTATATTACTGGAAATTAAGTAAGAAATTAAGTAAGATGCTTTGCCACTGAGCTACATCCCCCAGTCCTTTTTTTTTTATTTTTTATTTTGAGACAAGGCATTGCTAATTTGCCCAGGCTGGCCTCAAATTTGTGATCTTCCTACCTCAGCCTCCCAAATAGCTGGGAGTACAGGTGTGTACAACTATGCACAGTTTATTTTTATCTTTTTGACTTTTCTTCATAAATATGAACATAAAGAATATATTCCCCATTCCTTTTTGTTTAGAATCAGAATAAAGTTGTATTTCAAATATCTAAAAAAAAAAAAAAAAAAAAAAATATATTCATGGGCTGGGGCTGTAGCACATGCCTCACACATGTGAGGCACTGGGTTCGATCCTCAGTACCACATAAAAATAAGTAAATAAAGATATTGTGTCCATCTACAACTAAAAAGAATATTTTTTTAAAAAAGAATATATATTAAGAATTGTAATGCAAAAGAAAAAGAATATATTCATAAATGACTAACAACTATGGAATAGGTAATTCTAAAACCAAGTTATATTTACAAATTAAACATTATCAAATCTCATTCCTTATAAAAGATATTACTTTATTCATTTATTGAAAGTAAATTAAAGTTCATGGGCTAGAGGTGAAGCTCAGTGGTAGAGCACTTGCTTAGCATGTGTGAAGTACTAGGTTCAATCCTCAACACCACATAAAAATGAAGTTATTATGTCCATCTACAAGTAAAAATAAAAAAATAAAAAAGTATATAGTTCAAAGTACTAGCATGTGAGTTCTATCAAAGTACTGAGTTCTATCCCCAGCACTGCAAAATAAATAAATAAATAAATAAAACAAAATTCAAAGTAAATGTCTGGTTAAGTAAGTATAATATTCAATGACACTAAAGAGAAAGAGGAAAATTCAACTACCGTTTTATAATGCTCAAATGCCATAAACTGGATTGCACCATAGGGAAAGATTCGAATCATCATTGCACCATTTCCTTTATACAATCCAAGGTATCCTTCCTTTTGGGGAACGGCCCGCAATGCAGAAAATACTCCTATTTTTAGAAAGATTTCAGAATGAAAACACAATTAAAACAGAAAGTTATCTAAATTTGTTTTCATGACAATCATTGATAGAGATAACTAAGCCATCATTCATAAAATAATTTTGCTAAGAATTATACAAATGGTAATTTCTATATAACAGATACATTTGCTTAAAATCTTAATTATAAAAATAAGCATATATCTTAGATTAGGTAGTGGGAAGTGAAAGGAGTGGAAGGCAGGGGATGTGGGAATAAAAAAGATAGTAGAATGAAACAGACATTATTACTTTATGTATATATGTGACTGTATGACCAATGTGATTCTATAATATGTATACTCAGAAAAATGAGAAATTATATCCCATCTATGTATGATATATCAAAGTATATAAGTGCATTCTACTGTCATGTATAACTAATTAAAACAAATAAAATTTTTTTAAAAAAATAAATATTTGTAGTGGCTATTAATCTATTTGGATGTTACATTTTTTCCTAAATAAATTTCTACAAAATTTTTAAAAATAAGCATATATCATATAAAATATAAAGCCTACTATAGCAAGAACAGCTAAAAATTATACTAAATTATTGAAAATTAAATTGAGGGGCTGGGGTGTGGCTCAGCGGTAGAGCACTCACCTCGCACATGCAAGACCCTGGGTTCGATCCTCAGCACCACATAAAAAAACATAAACAATGAAATAAAGGAATTGTGTCCAACTACAACTAAAAAATAAATATTAAAAAAAAATTTAAAAATAAAGTTAAATTGAGGGGCTGGGGCTCAGTGGTAGAGTGCTTCCCTAGCATGCATGTGTGAGGCACTGGGTTTGATTCCCAGCAACACATAAAAATAAATAAAATAAAGGTCTATTGACAACTAAAAAATATTTTAAAAAAAGAAAGAAAATTAAATTGAATTACAAAATCTATAAAAGATTAACAACGGAGGGCTGGGCTGTCACTCAGTGGCAGAGCACTTGCCTAGCACGTGTGACACACTGGGTTCAATCCCTAGCACCACATAAAAAACATAAACAAAGAAAGTCATTCTGTCCATCTACAACCAACAAAACAAACAAACAAACAAAAAAATATATATATATAAAATAAAATAAATGTATATATAAAAGCCAATGGAAATATTTAAGAATCCAGAAATTGCACTGAAGATGACTGACTCCATATGAAAAGATAAAGGACTCTTTCCCAGACTGACCCAGATATATGTGTGTTTGATGAAACTTTGTTTATGTGAGGAAACTACTAAATAGAACAAGCAAATAAAAAGATGATTTACTGGGACTGGGATTATAGTTCAGTGACAGAGTGTGTGTTTAGCATGTGTGAGGCACTGGGTTTAAATTCCAGCACATACACACAAAAAACAAGGACTGGGGCACCATATAGCTCAGGGGTATAGTGCTTATCTTGATCTCCAGCAGTACAAAAAAAAAAAGAAAGAAAACAAAACAAAAACCCAACCTATTAAAATTATTTAAATGTGGGGGCAACTTTTCATTATTAGGATATTTTAATTAGAAATACTGATAAACAGGGCTAGGGTTGTGGCAGTGGTAGGGCACTTGCCTAGCATGTGTGAGGTACTGAGTTTGCTTCTCAGCACCGCATATAAATAAATAAAGTCGGGGCTGGGATTGTGGCTCAGTGGTAGAGTGCTTGCCTAGCATGCACAGGGCACTGTGTTTGATCCTCAGCACCACATAAAAATAAATGAATGTAATAAGGGTATTGTGTCCAAATAAATATTTAAATAAATAAAGTCCATTTGACAACTAAGAAAAGAAAACACAAAAAAAAAGAAATATTAATAAACAAAAGTCAGACTTCTGCTAGGCATGGTGGTGCACACCTGTAATCCCAGCAACTCTGGAGACTGAGGCAGAAGGATCATAAATTCAAAGCCAGCCTCGGCAGTTTAGCAAGGCCCTCAAGCAACTTAATGAGAACCTGTTTAAAAAGTGTGTGGGGTGGGGAAGGTGTGCTTAGGATATAGCTCAGTTGGTAGAGTGCTTGCCGCCCATGCACAAGGCCCTGGGTTCAATCCCTAGCACCACAAAAAAAAAAAAAAAAAAAAAGAAGGCAGGACTGAGAAAATGATTCAGTGGTTAAACACCCTTGAGTTCAATCCCTGGTACCAAAAAAAAAGAAGTTCAGATTCCCTTCCAAATTTTTCAATCAAAAGTTTCATCAAGGGCTGGCGTTTAGCTCAGTGGTAGAGCACATATGTGAGGCACTGGGTTGGATCCTCAGCACCAAAATAAAGTAAAATAAAGACAACTAAAAAAAAAAAAAAGAAAAAGTTTCATCAAACACTACCCACCATAGGAACAAAGTAATCCAGACTTTGGGGATGGTACCAAAAGATCTCAGAGATGACACTCTCCCAAATTAACAAGCCAGTTACAATTCCAGACAAAGAATATGTGGAATGTAGCCCCCTGTTCCTGCTGATGGACAGAATCACAGACTTTAGGACAGAAATACCCTGTTTCTTCTTTACTAGCAAAGAAATAAACTTTCTTTTATCTTTTTCTCAAAAAAGAAAAAAAAAAGTTTAATCAAGCTGGGTGCAGGGGCACAGGCATGTAATTTCAGCAGCTTAGAGGGCTGAGGAAGGAGGATTGTGAGTTCAATGCCAGCCTCAACAACTTAGTGAGTCCCTAAGCAACTCACAGAGGCCTCTCTAAATAAAATACAAAAAGGGGCTGTGGATGTGGCTCAGTGTATTCGAGCCCCTGGGTTCAATTTCCTATACAAAAAAAAAAAAAAAATCATCAAATATGAAAATAAAATCCTCTGTGGTTCATACCTATGGAAATAATTGGGGTTTTTTGGCTTTTGGGGTTTTTTTTATTTGTTGATGGACCTTTATTTTATTCATTTATCTATATGTGGTGCTGAGATTCAAACCCAGTGCCTCGCACAGTCGAGGCAAGCGCTTCACCATGGAGCCACAACCCCAGCACGATGATTGGGTTTTGTCACTATTGTACACGGGGTGCCTTCCTTCTCAAAGCTTGTGCCTATTATGTTATTATCTTTTTTTTTTTTTTAAGAATCTAAACTTTATTTTATTTATTTGTTTTTATGTTGTGTTAAGGATCAAAACCAGGGCCTCACTCAAGCTAGGCAAGCACTCTATCACTGAGCTACAATCCCAGCCCCAAAATGAAAAAACATATATATAAAAGTCAAAACTAGGCTCATTTCTAATTTTAGATTATAAGAGGCCTTCCTATTAATTAAAACAGTAGGTACTCAACATCTAAGAAATGATATATCCCAAAAGCATTTTTTTTAAAGAGAGAGAGAGAGAGAGAGAGAGAGAGAGAGAGAGAGAGAGAGAGAGAGGGAGGGAGGGAGGGAGCGGTAGTGCGCTCTCCTGGCATGCGTGCGGCCCGGTTCGATCCTCAGCACCACATACAAACAAAGATGTTATGTCTGCTGAAAACTAAAAAATAAATATTAAAATTCTCTCTCTCTCTCTCTCTCTCCCTCTCTCTTTAAAAAACAAAAAGAGAGAAAGAGAAGGGAGAGAAGTTTTTAATATCTATTTTTCATTTTTCGGCGGACATAACATCTTTATTTTATTTTATGTGGTGCCGAGGATCGCCCCGCACATGACAGTCCTTCCTATTTTTATTTTTTTGAGACTCACATTGCCAATGCTGACCTCAAACTTATGATCCTCCTGCCTCAGTCTCCTGAGTCTCTGAGATTACATGCATATGCCACCAAATCCAGCTAACCCTTGTTTAACTTGATTCAAAAGTGCAACAATTTAAAGTTAACCCAGAGGGCTGCCTTGCCACTTCCACCATGTGAGATGCCAGAAGGCATCACTATGAAACAGGAAGTGGGCCCTTCTCAGACCTGTCGATCCTGGTCTTCCCAGCCTCCAGAGCTGTGAGAAACAGGGCTGGGTGTGTATGTAGCTCAGTGGTAGAGCACTTGCTTAGCATGCCTGAGGCGCTGGGTTCTATCCCCAGTACCAGAAAAATAAAAGAGTGAGAAGTAAATGTTAATAAAAATAAATAAATAAAGTAAGTTAAATTTAGAACAATGACTACCTGTAAGGGACAGAAAAGTTTATAAGGTACAGAAATAAAGAGGAAGTTTCAACTATATATAAAAATAACTGATAATATCGTTCTAAACTCTGTGGCAGTTCTGCATATATTTATTACATTATTCTTTAAAACTTGTTGATTGTCACATATATTTTGTTAAAAACATTTTAAGAGAAACCATTATTAAAAAGGAAGTAATATAATAGTTTCAAAAATAGAAATCTAGTAAACATAAGACCAGGGGAAGAAGATGAAGAGGACAGGATACAAGAAAGCACAGCCAGGGCTAGGGTTGTGGCTCAGTTGTAGGTGCCTGCCTGGCATGTGTGAGGCACTGGGTTCCATCCTTAGTACCACATATAAATAAATAAAGATCTATCAACAACTAAAAAAAAAAAAAAAAAACTAAACTAAAAAATATTTTAAATAAATAAAGTATAAAAAAAAGAAAAAAGAAAGAAAGCACAACCAGGTGTGATGGCACATGCCTGTAATCCCAGCAACTTGGGAGGCTGAGGCAAGAATATTACAAATTCAAAGCCAGCATCGGCAAGGCGCAACTCAATGAGACCCCTTCTCTAAATACAAAATAGAGCTGGGGATGTGGCTCAGTAGTTGAGTGTTCCTGAGTTCAATCCCCAGTACCTGCCCCCAGCCCATAAAAAAAGTGGATGTTGAACCTTTCCAAATTAATACCTGTTAAATATATCAACCTATAGGCTATCATTTTTTATTTTTTTAATACTGGAGATCGAACCCAGGGCACTCTACCACTGAACTACATGCCCAGCCCTTTTTATTTTTTGAGACAGGGTTTCACTAAATTGCTGAGGCTGACCTAGAACTTGCAATCCTCTTGCTTTAGCCCCTTGAGTCACTGGGATTACAGATGTACAACACTAGGGTGTC